TAACAGGTCCTTATGGTCCTGGCTCCATATCCATTCTGGGGAGCGTCAGTCCGGTTCCTATTCCCCCGGCAAGTCACAATTACATACAATATGGTACACACTCACGCTTCCTTCCGTACGGCCGAAGGAACCCTGAACAGCATTGATTACTCCTTGAAGGAGGATTGACTGTCAGCTTGCCTATCTCTGAGTTCCCTCTCAAGTTCCACCTGGAAACCTGTCAGCTATAACAATTAATGCAAGGACAGCAGAAATAAACATAGAATGGATCTTGGTCCGCCTCATGTGGCTCTGAAGTCTTGTTGTTCGGGCCTGCGCTGGCTGTTTAAGCCCTGTCGGTTGGCCGAGTTATGCCAGTCTTTCCATCTGATCTGCAGGTCGGTAATGTCGGTTATCTTCCCCCGGACCAGCCACACCTCCTTGAATTTCAGAAGCAGTGCTTGCTGCTTTTCCGGATTCTGCTAGATTGAAAGTTTGACCTTCTTCCACTGACACCGAATCTCTGTTTCCATCATCAGTTTCGTCGTTGTCCACACCTGCTCACATGCCTTGCTGGATTTTTCTATGGTCCTGCTGCATCTTTCTTTCCATATGACCCAGAGCGTCACCTTCCTCATTATCCCGAACCAGATGCGTTCAGATTTGTTAAATTGGGCTGGGATGTTAGTCCACAGAAGTAGTTGGATTGGATGTTCAGGGAGGGAAGATAGAAATAGGTGGTCCCAGAGTACTGAGGCTCTGGCCCACTGGTCAGTAGCGAATTTGCATGTTATTAAGCAATGTATGAGATCTTCCTGTTCGTTATCTGAGCATACTAGACATTTTTCTGAGCTGTCTGGGTCGCTGTTCTTCCTTCGGATATGTAGCCATGTATTTACTGGAAGGGCATTGTAGGTGATTAACCATTGGAGACTTCTGATTTTAACTGGGCGCATTGATTTATATTTCTTCCAGGGCACTTCCGCGATTGGTTCCATTCTCTGTCCTAGTAGTTTGTTCCATCTCTCTTTGATTACCGGTTCTGGGTCCTTGGTTTTTAGCAACATCTTGTACCCCATTTTAACTGTGTATTGCATGATATGAATAGGGGTTTTGTATACTCTATTATTAGCTGAGGACCATGACCACTCCTCTGGGTCGAATTCGAGGTCTTGGATCGCATTTTCCATTTGGAATATCTGTTGGCCAGGTACCTAATACCCTTACTTTCCGCAGTGTGAACGAATTTAGGACCGATTCCTGTGGGTCAGCATTGTGGATGGATGGGGATTTGGGGTTGGTGTGGTCGATCGGATAGGATGTGAAAGATTCTAAGAACATTGGGCCTGCCGATCTGCGATAGAATTGGTAAGCCCTTTGTGGTGTCGTCTCMTGAATTAGCACACCCCACTCCCCTGGCTTCCAGGGAAGCCTTTCTTTCCGCAGATCTTTCCAGCTGTCTGGGATACTGTTTGTTACTGTTACCAAGTTTTCATAACCGTTCCTCATCAATCCAATCTTTTTTCTCTTCATCTCATATGTGACTCACCCTCCACACCCCCTGCCGGACCCATGACAGCCATCGTTGGCCATTTGCTAGAGACAGTGTATGGCCCCCTGCATCCCTTACACCTGGATTCCTGAACAGGGGTTGGCGCAGGACTTCCTCTTTGGATTTTGGCTTCATTACCTTCTTTGGCATGACTTCTCTCCATATGCGGATAAGAGCAGTCTAATATGGGGTAGAGGATTCCGTTTCATTCCGGGGAACATTTGACGTCCGTCTCCTCCTGCCTGTTTTCGGCTTCCATTCCTTGTTCATCACCCAGAATAGGCCTGACATGTTAGACGGGCTCTGTACTGGGGCTATGGCTCTTACRCTGTCCAKYGCYAGTTTGTGCCATGCCAGCCTTGGTTGGGTTAGTAGCTTAATTATCCATTTGATCTGGAGGGCTTTTGTTTCCTGCTTAGGATCGATTATCCCTAATCCTCCCTTA